AAACTCTTTTATCGCGATTATTTTTTTACACATTCAAAGGTGCGTGGGCGTAGCTTGTCCCGCTACCTCACTTGCTGACTCGAGTATAGTTATATACATCACAAATACAAGCTTATATTACATTTTCAGCTTTCATGAAACTCTTGCACTTTTTTGGCGCTGGCTCTCCGACTATAATGTCTTGTGACTATATTTTTCTCCAGAATGTATCGATTCCATATTTAACTCATTCACACTAAGTTTTTCCATTACCAAGGGATCATTAGAAATCCACTTGCAAAGATACATAGGTACATCCTTATTTGAAAATGTAATCGACTTGACTCAAATTAATTGCACTTTGATAATTTTTTTCACCACTTAACGAATCATCTACATAAAAATCATGCAAAATCACTGCGGATGCTAAAGGATGATATTGTAAACCAAGTTCCTTTAGGCATCTTATAGCCAGTTTAATATGTGATGGGATCTCCAACGAAACATAATTTATTTTACGATTAGGAATTAACGAACTAATCTCAGGAACTACTATACAGTCTACTTGTATTTTATATTGATAATGAATAGAATTAATTTCTACTGCACATTTTTTGTTGATTTTAAATGTTGTTCGATTTATACCCATGATAGATATTGTAATATTTTGAGTCAAACCCAATGTCTGGCAGGATTTCACGGTTATAAGATTAGATTGTGAACCACTATCTAGCAGACCACGCAATACTTGACAGTTACCACTGAAGTCCATAACTTGAACTAAAGCTCTTGAACTCAGAGTCAGAATAACACTTATCTGAATAATACTGATAGTAAATGTAGAATGTGCCCCTTGTACATATGAATCGTGAGCGTCATCATTCTTATCTGGTTTATTACTATCATTGGAAGTGTTATTACTAGGAGTATTTTGGTTTTGACGAGTGTTTCTGTTTTCATAATGAAAAAGAGTATGAGTTTTGCTTTACATTTTCGATATCCACTTATCTTACAATCCCTACTCATATGATTACCTTTTCTCAAATAATTTAGACATAATCCAAACTGTTTAGCCTCCTCTACCATTAGTTTTATAAATAATCAGGACAATTTGAAATATAATGACTATTACTTCAACACAAAAACAAGTTTGTCCTAGCCTAGTTATAATTTAGAGGTAAAATCAAACCTGTCTTGATTTTTCATCTACTTTGGGTATAACTTTACTTTGTTGAAATGAACTTAATTTTTGAATGCGATATTTTAAAAAAGTTTTAAACTCGTCCAAAGTTGCAAGTCTATCATGAAGTTTCTTTTCTTCCCAAACTTGTTGTTGAGTTGTAGAATCCAATTTTTCACTAACCAAGAATATAGTCAGGATCCCAAGTTTTAGTATCTACGCCTAGTTTTTTCAAAGAATTTAAGTGTCTTTTGATCCCATCCAATATGTTAATTAATAGCTTTAGATGATTATTCACCAAAACATTTGTATTATCATAACGATCACACAACATGTCCCAGATAACTTTGTAGTTTGAAGCTGTTAACTCCACCAAATGAATAACTTCTTTAGCTTCGCCCTCTAATGCACTCTTTGGAAAATATACACAACAAAAAAAGTTTTGCACCATCTCATTTTATATATTCAGCGATATCTAAATTAAAAAATTATCAATAAAAAAATCGTAAACAGTTTCAGATTCCTGAAGATTTTTTAGTAAATGTACTAGACTCATTCCATAAGTGAAGTTAACAATATTTTTATTTATGGATGAGTATTCTGTAGTTACATTACAGGGTGGTGCAAAATTTTTTTTGTTGTGTGTATATTTTTTTCTAAATTCCCAATAGAATTATTAGAATGTATTAATGAAATAAAAATATCTCTCAATTCTAACCAATCTTGATTTTCCATTAAATTTAGGAATTGGTATAGCAGGCAACTGAGGTCTTGATGTAATAACTGGTGGTGGCAATGGTAATTGAATTTGAGGTGCATTACCCGAACAGCTATTATTTTGTTTATTTGAAATATCATATTTGTGTAAATGTTAAATATTTATAAACTGTATTTTTTCCCAAGATAGATTTTGACATTGTCAAGTTGGAAACATAAACAATGCCGCTTATTGGTCGCAAGATGCCAATTGCATGACATGTATTGTAAAACTGATGTCAACCTGCAGGGGCACCTCATTTTGTGACCAATCAGGGCCAAGCAGTATTGTTTGTGTTTCAAAGTTTTCAATGTCAAAATGCATCTTGGGAAAAAATACACCATATATAAAGCAACTTTCTTGAAATCAAAAACATGAAACGCTGCCTGATCAGCCTCTTAAGCTTCCAAGCAATTTAAGCTTACCTCCTCCTCACTCCTCAATACTAACCTGAATGTTTTGAAACTTCTTCTGTATTACATCCAATTGTTGTAGCCTAGTATCTACTTCCAATAAAATCTTCAAGTCTAATAATTGAGAAGCCACAGGTGCATTTGCTATTATGTTTTTAATAAAGTTATTTGCAGTAGTAAGCTTAGCCTTGATAGCACGACGTCGTGTTACTAGTCCCGATAATTTGTCTGCCGATATTTCATAGAATATTTATTTTGAAAGCAAGCTAACACCAAGACTCAATTATTGTCAAAATGTCAAATACCATGTGTATACCTACCAATAAATATTAAACAATAAACCTTTATTTACAACTAATGTATAATGTAAGTATTATGCCTGTATTACATCTATGTATTTTTCCGTGTATTTATTCATGTAGTTCAGGGTGACAACCGAAAAACTTCAAATGCAACATAAATCAGCATTATGAAAAACAAAATAATGTTGCCACCCTGAACTACATGAATAAATATATGGAAAAATACACAAATGTAATACGGGCATTATACTTGTGATTTTGGCAGTATAATGCACTATGTTATTCCCCCAGGGAATAATGACGACTAGAGGGATTAATGGTCATTATTCTTCAAAAGTGTCAGTGTCAAACGTGTAGTACTTGTGGATTTGTATTGAGAATTGAGATGGATAAAATTTCTTCATTAAAAATCTAAAATAATAGTAGATTATACCACGAGTCAATAATGATAGCTATTATTCCCGAGGAATATTTACAAACTGAGCCGCGTTAGCGGCGAGGGAGTAACATTCTGAGGGAATAATAGCCATTATTGCGAGTAATATACTCTACTTTATTTACGGCAAATTAATTTATTTAAGTTTTTTAGTAGCAAATTTCATCCATCTCAATACAAATCCACAAGCACTACATGTTTGACACTGACACTTTTGAGGAATGATGACCATTAATCCTGCTACTCGTCATTATTCCCTCGGGGTGACATTAGTCGGAAATAATAGCTATTTATGCACCAAGGGGATTATGTAGATTATAATTCCCGAAGGCGAAACTAGCCCGAGGGATATATTTCTCCTGAAGGGCATTATAATCTAAAAATCCCCGTGGTGCATACAATGCTTTATTTCCTATTCAACAAAATGTTTTTTCATCAATTTAGTATCAAACAAAATCAGTTAAACTTGTGTGACAGAATATTGTTTTGTATTTTGACATGTACCTGTACCTAGAAACGGAACAATTTAATATATCTATAAACATCTCATAAGGTAAGGCAACGGTGGTCGTGTGGGTTATCGCACTCGACTACATGGAAAGCGTTGATAGTAGACCGGATTCGACTCCTGGCCAGACCAAAAATTATTTTCGGTCGGACATTTAGTGGCTGCTTAGAGTAAAGTGCAAGTTAATGAAACAACAACAAGAAAAACACCTCAGGGTATTATAAGCGGGCGTTATAGATCGTAACGCGCGCAAAAGTGGGCGTTATGGATCATAACGCCCGCCGGCCTTATAACGCCCTCAGGTTGTTATAGTATATGTAACGTATCTTGACGTATTTCGTTTCCTAGGTATTATGGATCGAATAGTTAAATAGAAAATAATAGTTATTTATGTATCAAGGGAATTATGAGGGTGTTAATACCCTAGAGCAAAGTATGTGTCCCAAGAGCCTTCGGCCAATTGCTCGTGGGTACCAACACCTGATAATTCCCGTGGTACAGGTAGGTATATAGATAATTTTATTTCCTACTGAACTTACTGTAACTCAAGGTAAAAGCGGGAATTAAAACCCTGTTTATGATTATTGTTACCCATTACCACTATGCATATTATATCATTGAAATCAGCAAAAGCGGAGCTATTCAATGACTTTATAATATATAGGGTGTCTCATTTGAAAAAACGTATGTTTGGTTCATAATTTGGAAAATATCACTTCTAGAGAAAACCTGGCTACGCCACTGGAAGCTACGTAAAAATATCTATAAGAAACCGTTGTCACCTCAGAGGTTGTCACCTTTTCGATCACTTATGAGAGAAACGAGATACAAGGGGTGTCCCAAAATGCAACTTTTTCAAAAACACCCTACCCTGTATCTGAAAAATAAAAAGAGCGATGACAATTCTGTTGGCGAAATCTTTCGTTTGATAAAAAAGTAGCCAACGTTCGCGGAAACCGCATCCTTCTAACTCCAATAGCAACCGAATTATCCCGTATGGACAACCAAAATGGGACACACTGTACATACAGCTATCAGGGCTGTTTGCATAACTTCTACTATACTATAACCGGGAAATGTTTTCCTTGAACGAGTATCGCTACATTGTCTACGTTATCAAGGCACCTTGTATATCTAGAAAGCCTCCCAAAGGCTAGAAGGTTGATTATTATTCAAAAGACGCCTTGGTATTTAAACTGTTGATTATGATTAATATGTATGTATACAAATCCTGTATTAAAAAAAATATATTGACATGATGAAAAATTTAGCGAGAGTGATAAAGTGGTAGCAGGTTTAAGTGATCTCCCATTTAATCACAATGAGTTTTCACACTTTGATCGCTGATCAATATATTTTATTCTACTACGCAGAGAAACTGGAATACACAAAATAAAAGTTGGACTAATCTATATTAATTTTCAGGGCACTAGTCAAACAGTCACAATGGTAGTTCAATATAGACCTGAAGAGTACAATAAGTTTGAGGCCAAAATAAATGACCTCAAGCAACAAATGGCTAACCCTGTCACGGGCGGCACTTTATTAAGAACATCACAGAAGAGATCTTTGTATGTTAGGTAAGTCATAGTCATGCTAATGTTAATTTTTGTTTTTTGGGACTTGTGGTCTATGCTTGTGGTTGGTTACTTGTAAGGCAACGTAGCGTAATATATTGCATCAGGTCACGTTTCGGTTTTATTTTATCTTCATCAAATCTACAAACATAATAATGAAAATGAATAAATACCAAAATGTATAATTTGCAAATACAATTCAGTTTTTTTGTTCTTTGTCTATCTATCTATTTTGAAGGCAACGCTACTCTGCTATCCTGAAATATACAGACAAATTTACAAAACATTGTTATTATCTAGACTTAGCTTTTCTTTTCTTCGCATTCTCAGCTAATTAAATGGAATATTTTTGTTTTCAATTAAACTTGAAAAATAAGATGGTAATGGGAAAAAATGAGTCAATTCCATTCAATGAAATCGAAATATATGCTAGGCTCTTTGTCTTGAAAAACTTACGTTGCTGATATTGTTATGCCAATGATATCTAAATGCTTCAAAATCATTCAAGAAAACTTATGTAATTTGATACAACATTGCAGGAGTTTCTGTGAATATCAATTTTTGCAGCATCACAACTGACTCGCTCATTATTTTCAAAAAGCATTGGTACTATAATTAAGTGTCTATCTTAGGGCTCTTTTTGATTACGATCCAATGAAAGATGACGGATTGCCTTCCCGCGGTCTAGCTTTTCAATACGGTGACATTCTTCACGTGACCAATGCCAGTGATGACGAATGGTGGCAAGCCAGACGAGTATTAGTCACTGGAGATGAGCAAGGTATGGGTATAGTACCTAGCAAAAGAAGATGGGAGAGAAAGCAAAAAGCTAGGGACCGATCTGTCAAATTTCAGGGTCAAGGAGGACATGCGGATAAGGTAGATGTATGCTCGGAACGATATGAAATGTGTCGATTTTCAATAATAATTGATTTTGTAGCAATCGACTTTGGATAGGAAAAAGAAAAGCTACAGCTTTAGTCGCAAATTTCCATTTATGAAAAGCAAAGATGACAAATCGGAAGATGGATCTGATCAAGAACGTAAGTAATAAAAACTTGTTGGCCCCTGAGAATGGTAGGTGAGATTTATAGTTTGTAGATATTCTGCCATGTATGGCAATATTTTAATTTATCTCTATTTAAAGCTTTTAGCGCTATGTAGTTTATTTTAATTTTAGTTTTATTGCTCATATTACAAAGTTTGCTTTTAGTTCTTGACTCACTAAATTACCTTGGAAAAGGTTGATTTGATAATAACTTTCTTCATTCAAATCAGCTTATTTGTAGTCAAATGTATGTACATGTCTCTTCCAATTTTGTTTTTATTGAAAGTTATGAGGATATGTGGCTTTTGAAAAAACTATTTTAACAAAGCAAATTTTGCAAGATGTGCCTTTTGTAATGTTCGTAGATGTTTATGTTTGATTTTTTTATTTATTTTCTACCTTTAGAAGCACCATTATCCGACAACCAATCTAACGGTAATGAAAAAACTTCCTCCAGTAAGTATTTTGATCCTCAAGTTCCAGATAATATCGATTTAATAATAGTGATATAGTTTTCAGATATACATAATATTATGTATATTTTGGGAATAGCTATTTAACAGCTTGTACATGGTGTTTTTTTAAGAACTATTGTATTTTTTTATTGATACTATTCTCATTAAAGGGGGGGCCTTGTTTTGGGTTTTGAACATCTTAAACAAATTTTTGGATAGTAGTATTCTATTTAAAATTGACTGTTGACACACTGTTACATTCGTTTCTGCTCTAACTTTTGAAAAATTGACTTAATCTCTGGTTTTACTTCAAAAAGTGTGGTTTTGAAGATAAACTAATATTTTTGCGTGAGTTAACAAGTCAGCAACCGAGGGTTGGTTTTTAAAAAATTGACTTTATTAACAATTCGAAATTATTACTAGCGAAAGCACGTTACAATAAAAGTTATAAGTATAATAAATTTCAACTGACTAACTATCCTAAGAAAATACATATATTTATAATAAGCTGAAAAGCAGAATAAGCATTTCAAATGAGGACTCAACAAATAGACGTGATATAACTCCTCCCTTCTTAGCTTCAACTTTCACGCTAGCGGGGGAGTTGAATACTCCGGTTTTCTTCTGGAACGGGGGTGGACCTCTTCTTCTTCATGGTAGCTTTTACATATTTCATGTAAACCAAGAAGATACAGGCAATAACGATGAGGACATATATAAGGGTTGTCCCAAGGCTGGGCAATCTATTGATTTCGGTGAAGCTCAGTTGTGGGCATATGTCCATTACTTCTTTGCTCAATTGGTGAAGGTCGTCTAACTTCAAATAATTTAGATGTCGACTTAGATTGAGGGTCGGCATCATGGCGAGTGTATTTGGTATGTCAGGAAACAGTATCGGTTTAATATCGGTCTTGATTGTCCTATTTTCATTGATGACTATTTTGGAAGCGGTGGCCATTTGGCAACCAATCGGTATTTGAAGCATAAATGTTCCAATGATGTTTTGTACTTCTTTTTGTTGAAAGCACTTGAGTTGGATGGCTTCTTTGACAGGAACAACCAATATCCATTGATTGAAATCGTCCAATCGATTGATGATCAGGGCCGGCCCTACCATAAGGCGAACTGAGCGAGCGCTCCAGGCGCCAGACCTCGGGGGGCGCCTTCGACTTGTTCCTTGGTAATAAAAAAAAGGGAAAAATATATTATCGCTTTGAATTCTGTCTCTGCTTTTCGATATTTTGCTTTTCTGCTTGTGAGCAAGCTTGTGCTTACTTAGTATGTGAATAACCTGTCCTGACGTTTTTTTGAGACGCGCGCGGATCGTGGGTGTGGTGGCGCCCTTACTCGAGCATTTGATCACGATATTTCGGATAGTGATAACGGTCACCTGAAAGCAGTCCTTCAGGCGTTAGCATTTAATAATTGGCAAGATACGTTTCCTTATATCTGGACAGCTGTCCGTATTTTTGTTACCATTCCTGTTACAGTGCCGAAAGGTGAACGGAGCTTAAGTAAGCTTAAGGTAATTAAAACTTACCTTAGCGGTCAACTCTAGCAGAATAGAGAAACCTTCAAGATCTAGCCCTGCTGTCCATTGAAAATGTTATAGCTCAGATATTGTCATATGAGGATTTATGAATAAAGCTAATGCAAAAGTATGCAAACACCAATTTACCTAAAATTTCGTATTTTGTTTTTTCGATTTTTATATTTATTAGGCCCGGTTTATTTATATTCAGATAAACTTGCGGGTAATTATCGGCAAGATAAATTTACCGTTCTATAAATCTATTGGTCGGCGCATAGATGGCTAACCAATGGGATAAGATATTGCATTTTTATCGTTCATACCTGACACCTGACAGTTTATCAGAAGGTGAATAAACCGGCCCTAATGGCCGTTTCCACAAACTATTACGATAAGTATTCTCTAAACTGACATTTCTCCATAGAAAACTGTCAGTTTAGGGAATACTTATCGTTAGGGCTTCCCGAAAATAACTAGTTGGTGGAAATGGCCATAATAAGTGTTATAAGTGATATTACCACAGGGGCGTCGCGTCGGGTGGGGTAATGGGGGTAATTACCCCCCCCAGGATCCAAAATTCAAGGGAAAAATCACGATGCCCAAAAGAAAATACATAATAATATTAAAGAAAATACATTTTTTTGTTTGTTTTATTTTCCTCACAAAGGAAATTATTGTTCTGGAAAAGTGAACGACCTTGAAATTGACAAAAAAAATTGCCTGCGGCGCGTTAGCGGGGAGTCGCATCTTCCCATTACCCCCCCCTAGACTGCAAGTCACGCGTCGCCACTGTATTACCAAAGTGGATTATTGGTTGATCCCATCAAAGAATGTGAACTAAATGTTAGTAAATAAGAGAACTTTGTACCAACGAACAGAAATGTTTTCAAATTTCAATTGGTAAGATAAATAGAGACATTGAGCTTTGTTGCCCCAGCAGGAAACCGTAATATTATCGTCAGGATTCAGCGCAAAACCTAAAATTTTTGCATAGAAACCGAAATTCGTATACAGAGAGGTTCCGAAACCGTTCTGGGACGTTTTTTTGACGGGTTGGAACAAACCTATTAGCAGGGTTGGATGGGACGACCGCAAATGCCCGGTATCTCTGGGACGGTCGGGCCGCAGGCCCGACGCGTCTAGATTAATAATAAAATTTTAAAATTTATATATTTGACAAAAACATCATGAAAACTACCTATCTAAAACAATATTAAGGCTGTGGTCCGAATATAGCCCAGGGCTGTGGTTTCGCGGTCCGAAAGCGATCAAATTACTCTGGTACCTGGAAAAGTGGTTACTTTTGGACCTTGGTTTCCTGAAATCTGGTTAACCAAATGTCAAAATAGTTACCGACTATCGGATGTCGGTTCTGTTGGTTTTATCTGTAAATTCCTAAAAATTCTGTCAACAATTTTTTATTTCATATTCGTGTTCCCTAGTTAACCGGAAATTGCAGAAACCATCTGTCAACCGGATCAGTTACTTTGGTTAACATTTGGTTATATTCGGACCATAGCCTTAAACTGAATATTATGCGTGAGGTCCGAAACCACTGGTGACGGTTTAATTGAGAATGCAGTGTTGTCAATCTGAATTTGTGAAATTACACGATATGCTGGTCAAATTACATAGTTTTACACAATTTCGTCTCACAATTACACGATTTATACACACGACTTTGGTACCTATTTAACATGGTAACATCAAGAAGCAAGTATTTATGATTTTGGGAAATGGGTCAAATCCAGTCAAATCTGAGGGTTGATCATCGCTCCTCAACCAAAAACAAAGATGTAGCATCGACAGAAAAGCGATCCAAGAGTAATCTAATCACTAATTACTCTAGTTCCTGGAAAAGTGGTTACTTTTGGACCTCAGTTTTCCTGCCAGGATGAGGCACCCCAGATGACGTCATACAGTTATCAGGCAACCTACCTCTCTCAAACATCCTAGCCATAAGAGTAGTCACTTGACAGACCATTTGACAGACAAAAGATAATGGAATGTAATGCAAGGAGCAATAGACCTATCTCGCATGATTAGAAAAAGAGAGCTTAATTGTAATAAATACAAGTTAGAAAGCGATAAAAGATGACATGCGCGCGCAACTCGTAGGCTGCTGCGTAGCCAGATTGTATTGTTGCAGAATAAATGTAGACAATACAAATCGAATATTATAACATTAAAGAAGTGATATAGTGTCAAGTGTTTTACAATGCCTTTTATGAGACAAAAGAAGAGTTTTAAAGTGGATGAACATCGTTTGCACTTTTATTTTGATAAATGTTTCCTCCGGCAACATGGCTCAATGAAATTGCAAAGGAATATGTCAAGTATAATCTTAAACGAAACTGCGGTGAGTTCAAGTAATATGTAAAGAATTAGTTTGCTCTTTGTCAAATTACACGTTACAAAGAAAGAAGGAACAATTCATTCTGAACTGGCCCCTGAATAAGAATATGACGGAAGCCTGTCACAAACTTGCTTCTCATTGGACGCTCACCTGCAGCCTACAAACGACGCGCGCAGTCCAGGTAATAGGAGATAGGTCTATTAAGGGAAGAGAAAACGTCAAGTCCTATTTGTTTGTCACAATGGGACCGTGACCTATCTATATGTAATAATATCGAGAATGAAAATTCCAAAATATTCTTTCGTTTTCTTTACAGTAAAATTTTTGAAACCAATTTTTCATTCTTGCCGTCCAAGGGAGGGCTGGATGAAAAAAATTGCCAGGGCCGGTTTGTCTAAGCCCATCCAACCCTGCCTATTAAATTAGATATGGTCAAAATCTATACTCGCGCATGCGAATCACATTTAAACTAGGGGCGCCAAAGTCAGATCTCGCTCCATACTAAAAGTAGCCTCGGGCCGGCACTGTTGATGATAATTTGCGGGACTTCAACTTCGGTTTGTTCGCAGGTGGAGGTATTTTTGTCAGAGTGGAGTAGTTTAATTTCGCATGGGCTGTCTTCTTGGATTTCGTGAATGTCTTCTTTTCCACAAATATGGAACTTCGGAATGACTTCTTGACATTCTTGGCCATAGTATGTGTAGTGCAATTTATTTTTCAGCAAGAATTTATTTCGCAGTAAGACAACCTTAAACTGACTCTGAGAAAGTATTGGAACCGAGTATAAATGAAAGTAATCAAAAATTCCGAATACATTATTGGTATATGTATTAGGTATGTTATTCTATTATTAATGACAAAAGATTCCAGTTCAATTATTTTTTCAAAAAGTGAAGTATTTTCCAAAGTAACCGCTAGGGGCATTTGTTCAGAACTTAAACGCTGTTGAAGTTTGTTTAATTCATGATAAAGGTCTTCAGTTTTTATTATACTTGGATGCATAATTTTCAATTTTGAAAAAGTTAAGGAATTTTCCATATCTTGTAAAATAGAGTCAATTATCTCATAGATATTGACTATTTGATTTATTATGTCTTTGATATAGAGGGAATTTTCTCTATATGCTGCCTTCTGTACCATGTGTGCAATTTGGTTAATTTTTGATTCTAG